TCTTTCAAGCTGGAGCGGCAGTTGGACTACCGAGCAACCGCGGTGGACATTGAGGACTATGCCTACCTGATCCTTGGGGAGTTGGAAGCAGCGCAGCTTGCGCAGCCTCTCCACAATCAGCCTCCGAAGGTTGCCCGCATGGATGATCATGGAGCGGCGGCTGCGGAGATCCCGGACAAGGGCAAAGGCAAAGGAAAAGGAAAGAAGCCCTGCTGGGGCTGGCAGGACGGATCGGGATGTCGTTACGGGTCAAACTGTATGTTTCTTCATGCTCCTCTTGGTCCTGGGCGATGTTGGGAATGCGGAGCAGACTCCCACCTGAAGCCACAGTGCCCGCTGTTGGTCAGCGGCCAAGGGGGGAAGGCTTCCGGTGGCAAAGGCGGCGGTGGAGCTGCTCAAGTGGGAGGTGGTTCGGGTGCTGCGCAAAATTCGTCTTCGTCTTTGGCGGCTACTTCTGGGACTACCAACAATGGGGAGGAGAAGCCACCGAGGAAGCCAAGGCGGAAAGGAGGAGGAAAGGATCGTGGACAAAAGGAAGCGGTTCGGAAATCGGAGGAGGAGCCCTCCGCTGAGCCGGTCAATACCTCTACCTCCCAGGCTACAGGCGAAGACGCAGCGGCGAGAACGGAGTTCTTTGAGGAGGCTACCAAGGCTTTGAAATCGCTGCGGCTGACCAAGATGGCAGTGAGATCCTTGCAAGGCTCGACGGGGAGTGGAGGTCGGGCTCTTATTGACTCCGGGGCTACTACGTCGATGCGCACGGCGGAGGCTGGGGAAACCAATGGGCTTCCTTTGAGGACGGTGCTATTGGCGGAAGGGGAAACCACGTTCTACCAGTTGCCCGGAGGAACCCTTCTTACTACAAAGGAGACGGCGCCGATTGTTGCGATGAATGACCTCATGGAAATCGGATGCAGAGTATCATGGTGCAGCGCGGAGGGATGCGCTGTAGTGCATCCTGTCAAGGGCAAACTGGCAGTTCGCATTGTGCATGGCTGCCCCGAGGTGGGTGAAGCTGTCGGCCTGGATCTGATTGCCGAGGCCGAGTCCACCAAGCTTCGAAGGCGCGAGGCCGAGCTGGCGGTCAATCGCATGGTGGCTGGATGCGATCGCCTTCGACCAGGGAGCCCGAAGTTGGATTGGGAGATGGGGTCCAAGGCGGTGAGGGATCTCTACAATGGTGTGGGGCTGTCTTGGGCTTGGCTGCATCAAACGTTCCCGGAGGCCCCGTCGTGGTTGGTGTCGGCTACCCCGGTTGTGGCGACTACGGATGGGAACCAGGTGCCTTGGAATCGCTATGAGAGGAAGAGATGGAAGAAGGCTTCGGCGATTGGTGTGCACTTGTTCTGTGGAAAGGACCGGGCTACTTGGAAGTCCCGAGCCGAAGTGGCTCATGTGGTTACCGTGGACCAGGCGGAGGATGTGATGGCCGACGCCACGTATTCGGCCTTGCTTGATCTGGCGTTGTCTGGAAAGGTCAAGACGGTGTTTGGTGGGCAGCCTTGCAGGACCTTTTCAGCCCTCCGCAATGTGGCGGTTAACGCGGGTGAGGGACCCCGTCCTCTTCGAGATCGTGATGGTGATGGACGGTGGGGACGCGAAGGGTTATGTGAGTGGGAAATGTGGCGAGTGCGCCAGGATACGATCATGATCTTTCGCATGCTGTTCTTGTGGATGGTGGCCACTGCAGTGGCCAGGGCGAAAGGGGAGCGAGATCCAGATCTCATCCTTGAGCATCCGGAGGACCCGAAGGAGTTCCTGTCCGGGGAGAACCTCACTTCCTTGTGGGCGTTTCCGGAGATTAAGTTTCTGAAGGACGAGATGAAGTTGTTTTGGTGGGAGTTTGATCAAGGTCCCCTCGGGCATCCTCGTCGTAAGCCTACGCGAATCCTTGCGTCGATGCCGTGCCCCAAGGAGCTAAGGAAGGTTCGTGGCCCATCGTCGGTGCCAGAAGATGAACGTGAGTGTGACGGAGATGGCTTCCGATCGGCAACCTGGGCGGCGTGGGCACCCGGACTCAAGCAGGCGATCAAGCGCGCGGTCGAGGAAAGTCTGGCCGGGTCGACCCTGGAAAAGATCATGAAATTGGACCAGGCGTTCCTAGATCACTTGAAGAGAGACCACACTCCCTTTCGAAGAGATTGCAAAGCCTGTTTGGCCGGATCCTTTCGGGGACATGCTCATCGGAGGATTGTGGCTCCGGAGGCTTGGTGTCTGAGTCTGGACGTGATCGGGCCAACCCGCCCTGGTGTGGACGAGTATGTCAAGAAGATTCGCTACGCGCTGATCGGCACTTTGGTGGTGCCGGATATGTTGGGGAAGCTACTACAGCCACCAGAACCCGAGGGAGAAGACGATGGAGGTGGAGTTGGAGCGTTGGACGTGGATGATCCTGTTTGTGAAGGAGATGAAGATGAGGAAGTCGAGCTCCCTTTGGCCGCTGAGGAGGAAAGGGCTAAGCGAGAGCTCGAGAAGTGGAAGGCCCGTGTGGAGAAGGACAAGCTGGACGCGGTGTCGTGTGTCGAGGTTCCCTTTGTGGTCACGATGGGTTCAAAGTCTTCGGCGGAGGTGTTGGCCGCAACGAAGGACATACTGATGCAGGTGAAGAGGTTGGGGCTTGCGGTGCAAAGGATTCACTCCGACCGTGGCCGGGAGTTCATCTGCAAAGGTTTTCGAGCCCTATGTCGAGATCGCGGCATTGTTCGCACGACCACTACCGGAGACGACTACAAAGCCAATGGACGCGTGGAAGCCTTAGTAGGTAGGGCCAAGAATGCTGTCCGAACCTACTTGTCATCATCAGGGATGAGCCTGGAGATGTGGGGCTTCGCTATGCGGCACTACGTGTCCCGGATCCAGCACGACGTGGTCACTCAGCTCGGAGGCCGCTTTCCCCGGCTTCCTCCGTTCGGGACCAAGGTGTTCGTGAAGCAGCGGTCATGGAAGCTGAAGAAGGAGTTCGTTGAAAAGGTCGTGCCGGCCACTGTGCTCTGCCCCTCTATGGATGTGGCCAGAGGTTTCTTGGTCAAGACAGAGGAGGGCAGCTATCTCACAACCATGGTGGCTGTTGAAAACGTCAAAGAGATCTCAGGCAACTTTGAGGTGTCGGCCCCAGCAGCTCATGCCGATGCCCCTGGGGTGAGACGGAGAATGCGAAGCAAGACCGCTATCGCTATGGCGGAGCAGGAGCGCTTGGACAAAGTGGAGGTGGGGGATGAAGACGAGCACCTTCTACAGGATGAGGAGTTGGCGGGTGTTTTTTTGGATGCCGGCGACTACTCGATGGAGGCGGTGGAGAGTCTCCTGGAAGGTTTGTGGCTCGGAGAGCAAGTGGTTCCCAATCGCCGTAGCAAGGTTTTTCAAGCGGCTCCTCAAGTGTCGGTGCAAGTGCTCGGCATGTTTCGTCATGGAGGCGTGGTGGGGGCTACTCAGTTCCTTGTGGAAGCAACGAAGCGCCAGTTGGATGCCGGAGCTACTTTCACCAGTTTGTCGCTCAACTTCAACACCCCGATGCAGTGTCATGTTGACTCCAACAACCAAACGGGCGAGAACGCCTATCTCATGGGCTTTGGCAACTACGTGGGTGGAGCGCTTTGGTGTCACGAACCTACCGGAGCAGGAAGCAATGTGAGCTGGCACAAAGTAGATGGAAAGTGGCTGCCGGGTCGAAGGCACCCAACATACCACAAAGCCGTGGTTTTTGACCCCTGTCAACTACACCAACCGCTACCATGGCAAGGGAATCGCATCACCCTAACCGCCTACACGGTTGGTTGCGCAGGCAATTGCAGTCGTCCACATCGTGAACTACTACAAGAGCTTGGTTTCCCATTACCACGACAACATGTTCAGTCTACGCCTGAAGGGGGAGAGTGCGGGCTAAGTGGGTGTGGTATACGGGAACCTCCAGCAGTGTGTTTT